TATTCCAAGTCCCCATCCAATCCCAAGATCTCTCAGATCCTGCCAACATTAGGCAGCAAAACACACTCTGCATAAAACACTCTCTTCATCCTTTATGGACAAAAACTTCTAATGCAGCCAAAGGTATACAAAGCACTACAAAACATAAAACGTGTAGGGCAGATGCATTCTCAGGTGAGCCAAGTGGTGCAATCTTTGGAGTGAGTAATGGAATATGAGTTCCATTTTATATGTGTGTATATATATATATAATTTTTTAATCAAAAAATACACTTTTTAAATCAAAACTGATTTTTTTTCTGATCCTCACTAGTGGAATTTTTATTTTTAGTTTGACAAATGACTTTATGTACTTAAATAAATTATATAAAGTAAAAGAGTTCAGAAGGAATAACAAAAGATTCTTAGCATGTGTAATTCTACCTTTTGTGGTCTTAAATATGAGCATGGAGAAGGATAAACTACATATTGATTTAATTTTCAATTTAGAATTTACAGTAGTAGGATTTCCAGTAGATTTTCCCAAAATAAATCACAATACTGTAACTCAGAGAGACTTTAATAGGAGATTCTCAAAGCTTTTCAAGCAAGGGGGCCTAGTATGGGAACAGCTCTGAAGCCTTGAAGACAAAGCCAGCTCGTTGTTATGCTGTATGAGGAGCTCCAGTGTGATCTTGGAGGCACAGAACCAACATTATGTTCACTTGGACCTCTAGATGGAACATAATTACAACACCTCAGTTGATGTTGGTCCAGGATACTGGTTTATAACCCTCCCACTCTTGTGAAAATCCTTTTAATTGCTCTAAAGAACTCATATTCCATTACTCACTCCAGATTGCACCACTTGGCTCACCTGAGAATGCATCTGCTCTACACGTTTTATGTTTTGTAGTGCTTTGTATACCTTTGACTGCATTAGAAGTTTCTGTCCATGAAGGATGAAGAGAGTGTTTTATGCAGAGTGTGTTTTGGTGCCTAGTGTTGGCAGGATCTGATAGAACTTGGGGTTGGATGGGTACTGATAGACAGGGGACTTGGAATAATTCTTTATTTTTTTATTTTATTTTATTTTTTTGAGACAATGTCTCACTCTGCTGCCAAGGCTGGAGTGCAGTTGTGTGATCATGGCTTACTGAAGCCTCGGCTTCCCCCAGCTCAGGTGATCCTCCTACCTCAGTCTCTCGAGTAGCTGGTACTATAGGTGCATGGCACTATCCCTGGCTAATTTTTGCATTTTTTGTAGAGATGGGTTTTTGCTGTGTTGCCCAGGCTGGTCTCAAAACTCCTGAGCTCAAGTGATCCACCTGCCTTGGCATCCCAGAGTGCTGGGATTTACAGGAGTGTGCCACCATGCCAGCCAGAGTAATTATTTATAGAGAAATTACTCATTTATTCTGTCTGGCAGTGATTGCATATCTGCTTGGATGAGAAATTCACATGTATCAATCAATAATGGCTGGGAGGGTTTTGTGTGTATTTTGAAGCTTCGGTGTTAGGTACATCCTCGTTTGGGATTGAGGTTCCTTGCTGAACTGACCCTTTTATCACTATATAATGTTGCTCTTTATCCCTGGTAATATCCCTGGTTCTGCAATCTATTTTGTTTGATATTAATGTAGTTACTCTAGTTTTCTTTTGATTAATGTTCATAAGGCATATCTTCCGTCTTTTTACTTTTAACATATATATGTCTTTATATGTAAAGTGGGCTTTTAAAAAAAAGTTGGATCATGCTTTTTTATCTAATCTGACAATCTATGTCTTTTAACTTAGTGTTTAGTTTTATCATTATACGGTTGGATTAAGATCTACTATTTTGCTGGATTTATATTTGTTACATCCATTCTGTTTTTTCCTTTTTTTTTTTTCTGCCTTACTTTAGGTTAATTGAATATTTTAATGGTTTAACTACACTATTGGTTTATTGTTTATACCTTAAAAATGTATTTAGTGGGCTGGGCGCCATGGTTCACACCTGTAATCCCAGCACTTTGGGAGGCCGAGGCAGGCAGATCACTTGAGATCAGGAGTTCAAGCCCAACCTGGCCAACATGGTGAAACCCTGTCTCTACTAAAAATACAAAAACTTAGCTGGGCATTGTGATGCACACCTGTAATCCCAGCTACTTGGGAGGCTGAGGCATGAGAATCTCTTGAACCTGGGAGACAGAGGTTGCAGTGAGCTGAGATCACGCCATTGCACTCCAGCCTGGGCAACAAAGCAAGACTCTGTCTCAAAAAAAAAAAAATTGTATTTAGTGGTTGTCCTAGAGTTTATAATATATATCTTTACTCTCAGTCTACCTCCAGCTATTATATTGCTTCACATGTAGTATAAGGACTTTTGAACAATACACTCCCAATTCACTCCTCCCATTCTTTGTGTGATCATTGCCATAATTTTACTTTACATATACTATTAAACACTTAATATAGCCAGGCATGGTGGCTCATGCCTGTAATCCCAGCACTTTGGGAGGCCGAGGTGGGCAGATCACCTGAGGTCGGGAGTTCAAGACCAGCCTGACGAACATGGAGAAACCCCGTTTCTACTGAAAATACCAAAAATTAGCTGGATGGGTGGCGCATGCCTGTAATTCCAGCTACTCGGGAGGCTGAGGTAGGAGAATTGCTTGAACCCCGGGGGTGGAGGTTGCAGTGAGCCAAGATTGTACCATTACACTTCAGCTTGGGCAATAAGAGTGAAACTGTCTCAAAAACAAAAACAAAAAAACAAACAATACATTGCCACTATTTTGTTTTAGGCTATCAATGATATTTTAGAGCATTTAAAAGTGAGAAAAATGATTTTTACCCTTATATATACCATTACCAGCACTCTTCATTTCTTTATATAAATGCAGATTTTTGTCTGTTAATATTTTCTTTCTGTCCAAAGGATTTCTTTGAACATTTCTTGTATTGAAGGACTGCTGGTAATACGTGATCTCCATTTTTTTTCTGGAAAAGTCTTTCTCCTTTATTTTTGAAATATATATACATATAATATACATATATATGTATTTTTTTACTGGGGTGGTAGTTTTTTCTTTCAGTACTTTAGAGATGACATTCTATTATCTTCTGGCTTGGATAATTTTGTCAAGAAGTCAGCTATAATTCTTATTGTCATTCTTCTCTGGTGGTGTATTCTCCTACCCTTCAGCCACAGCCTTCAAACTTTTTGGTTTGGTTTTGGTTTTCAGCAGTTTGGGTACAGTATTGCTTTTTGTATTTATCCTGCTTGGTGTTTTCTGAGCATCTTGGATATGTGGTTTCGGGTCTTTCATTAACTTTGGAGAGTTCTTGGACGTATTTATCATGTCCTATCTTCTCCTGCTGGTATTCCAATGACATGTATGGGACTTAGGTCTTCTATTGTTTTATTTACTCTTTTTTTCCTCTTTGTGTTTTTTAGTTTGGGACATTTCTATTTACCTGTATTCACATTTACTGTTTCTTTCCTCAGCTGTGTGTCAAGTCTATTGATGAGCCTTCTTCATCTGTGTTACCATATTTTAAAATTCTAGTATTTCCATTTGACTTTTTAGTTTCCAACAGTCTGATGAAATTTTCCATCTGTTTATGCATCTTGTTCAACTTTTCCACTAAAGTATTTGGCATATTTATCATAACTACTTTAAATTATCTCTCTGAGAGTTTTAATATCTGGGTCAGATCTGAGTCTGGTTATCTTGATTACTTTGTCTCTTAATAGTTTTACGTTTTTTTTTTTTCCTTGCTTTTTGTGCCTAATAATTTTGAGTTGAAAGTTGGACACCTTGTTTGAAAAACTATAGACATGGAAGTATTTATGCCTGGAAATGATCATAGCTCTGTTTTTGCTAGGCCTTTAGTTTGGTATTGGGTTAATAGAGTAAAGAATTGAATTATGGGTTTTTACCATTGTTATGGCTACCCTCAGTGCTTACCACATTTGAAATTCTTCTAGTGTTACTTAGTGTTTAGGGAAGGCATTGCATGACTATAGGGGTTTTCTCCATGCTTCTGTCCCACCCTCAGCTTTAGGTGTGAACCTGCACATCAGAGAGGCTTTCTTCTTTTGCTATGCTTCTTCCCCAGAAGTCGACTGTTGTTACTTGATACTTGGCACTTGCTAGCCTGGAGTAGAGGGAGGGCATTCCCTTGTACTAGTTCAGCCTCAGTCTTAGGCAAGTGCTGTGTTCCTAAGTTTCTGGAATGGGACCTTCTTGATGATCCCGCCCCTCCCCAGTAGTAGAAGATCTCTAATAGTGTGGGTCCACGATAGTTTTGGCTCTTCCCCAAGGGTGAAGGAGTTTCTTTTTCCATTCTCTAGAAGCAGTTGATATCAACTGGTACTCTTAGGATAATAGGGTTTGAGGCCTTTCCCCAAGTGGTTGAAGCTTTTATTCAGTAGAGGAAATGGAGAGAGGACAGGTGAGGCTCTGTCTTTTCCACAGTGCTTCCCCTTCCCTCCTTGGGCCTCCACCACGAGGGAGGCTTTGTCTGGTCTTGCACCTGCCCCAGTGCTTCCTGTATTTGATGAGATCCGTGGAGAAGAGTCTGCAAGTGGGTATAAATTCTGCTTGTGTATGTGAGTCATAGGGGTTCTATATTCTGTGCTAGCCCACTAGGCTTTTGGCAGTTCATTACATTTTTAGGTGAACTTTTCTCACCACCTTGTATGCAGCCTGGTGTCTGCCCCTGGTAAACAAGAGTTGCATCTCATTTTTCCTTGGAGGATCCTATCTTTCCTTATATTGCAGGATAGTTAAGTTGTCCTGCAACCTCAGCTCTTTTTTGGGTTCTGGAAAGGTTAAGACTTTATAAATTATACAGCTTTTCTTTGTTTTAAAGTTAGGAGCAACACTTTTCAGCTTTCTTCATCTCTGGGAACACTTCAACTTACAGACTTTTCAAGACCTGAGATTTGAGTTTTGCTGTTTCATTTGGGTGCAGTTAAATACTGATTCTCAAATGAACTAGCATTAAAAGCATAACTTATATCCTTGCAGAAACTTGGGGAGTGTGGCAGCCGTGGAGCCAGTGTAGTGCCACATGTGGGGATGGTGTCAGAGAGCGTCGCCGAGTGTGTCTCACTTCCTTCCCCTCCAGACCCGGCTGCCCTGGAATGTCCTTGGAGACCTCCCTGTGTTCCCTGGAGGAGTGTGCTGGTAGGTATTCTTGCTTCCTTCAGGAGTCTCTCCTCAGAGCCTTCATCAGAAGGAATATTGAATCCAGGGCTGCCTGAGAGTTACCAGTCTGAGATCAGGAGTAGACTCATTAACGCTCTGTGATTGCTGTTGGTTGTACTAACGCTGTATTTGTTAGTGTATCTAAGACTGGGAATAGCTAGGAGAGTAGCTTACCAGTGAGATAATGGGATTTACCACTGTAGAAGATAAGGAAATGATAAGGAAATATTAAGTATTCAGACATATTAAATAATTTCTAAAAATGCAAACAATGGGGAAGGGATCATTTCTTCATAAGATTTTTGTTTTTTTCTCCCTCTGTTTCTCTCCACCAAAACTGTGGAAAAACAGTTTTCCTTTTCTCCCTATCAACCCAGAAAAGCCAGGGAACCACATAGACCATTATTTGTCAAAATGGGGCAAGACTCCCCGTCCTATCCCCTGAGTGGCCTAAGTTATTCCTTACTGCCCCTACCCAGAGGGACTTTTTTATTTTATTTTTTTGAGATGGAGTCTCGCTTTGTTACTCAGGCTGGAGTGCAGTGGTGCAATCTCGGTTCACTGCAAGCTCTGCCTCCTGGGTTCACGCCATTCTCCTGCCTCAGCCTCCCAAGTAGCTGGGACTACAGGTGTCCACCACCATGCCCGGCTAATTTTTTGTATGTTTAGTAGAGACAGGGTTTCACCATGTTAGCCAGGGCGGTCTTGGTCTCCTGACCTCGTGATCTGCCCACCTCTGCCTCCCAAAGTGCTGGCTGGGATTACAGGTGTGAGCCACCGTGCCCAGCCCCAGAGGGACATTTCTTCCTGCTGTCATCTGGGGACTGGCCTTTCCTGCATCTTCTAAGTGTCTTCAAGGTACATACTAGTAGCTGGTCATTGAGTGTTTGATGTAAATAGTCTATAGATATGTTGCTCATGTGGCTTTAGGTTTGCCCCCAACTTATGGACCTAAATCCTTTTCATTTACCACGAGTTACACACTGAATAGTCCTTGCTTTTTCCACACACCATCCCGCCCCCTGACAGACAATCCACATTTAGTTGGCCAGCCTCTGCTCTGCTCTGCTCCTGACTCTTAGATAAACTCCTTGGCACAAGGACTTTATCTTGTCCTTCTTGTACTCTCCAATTCCAGGTTAAAAGACCATATTAGTTCCTTGTTTCTTTGGGATATGGAGGAGTTATGTGCTTTTCTGTGTTTGGATCTCAGAGTACCTTTTAGCCCAAACCACAGGCACCTGGCAACATGTCAGCCAGCGTCCCCACCTGTGGCCTTAGAAAATCCTTCTTGCTGTATCATTTTTCCAGCCAGTATCATAGGCCTTGTTCCCTTCATTCCAGCATTTTTAGGACATTTTTCTTTCTCCTAATTTTTTTTTTTTTCTTATTGTAGCTTCCTCTTCTCCTAGCCCTCCATCTGCCTGTCTTTCATGGGCCCCACCCTGAATCCATTATTTCTTCAGTGATAAACTGTTTTCTAAGGCTCTCTTCTTTATCTGCTCTTTTCTTTATAAGTTTTCTTCACTTTCCACAGCACCTTCCTTGTGTATAACTTCCCTCAAATACACCTTATCCTCTCAATTCTGGGATGGTGTCATGTGTTCAGACATTTCATATCTGAGTTCCATAACACTCAGATGAATTTAAACTCAGTGGCCACTGGTGACTACTATTCTTTTATATGTGACAATATTTATTTATTGTTATTACCATTAATTCGTTATGTGACAACACTTAAAATACATTATCTCACTTAAGGCTCACAGTAATTCCACAAAGTAGGTATCATTATGCTGGGCTCAGATCTCTTGAGAGCTTACTGTCTGCCAGGCATTTTTCTAAGGACCTTGCACACATAACGTAGGCATATTCTTATCTCCACAGTGCAGATGAGGACCCTGTGGGATAGAGAGGATGGGTGGCCTGTCCAAGATCATTAAGCTAGAAAGTGGGGGCATTGAATTTGACTCCTTGCTAAGCTACCTATCTTGAATACCTTGCCTTTATATACAGGCCAATCTGGCTTTCTAAAAGAAGCATCAACAATCTGGAATTAACAATCATTTTTCCAAAATGTGATGTGATATTATGTCATATTCTGGCATCTTAATTCTTTTTTTTTTTTTTTCAGATGGAGTTTCGCTCTTGTTGCCCAGGCTGGGGTGCAGTGGCGCGATCTTGGCTTACCACAACCTCTGCCTCCCGGGTTCAAGCGATTCTCCTGCCTCAGCCTCTGGCATGTGCCACCACACCCGGTTAATTTTTGTATTTTCAGTAGAGACGGGGTTTCTCCATGTTGGTCAGGCTGGTCTTGAACTCCCGACCTCAGGTGAGCCACCTGCCTCGGCCTCCCAAAGTGCTGAGATTACAGGTGTGAGCCACTACGCCCAGCCAGCATCTTAATTCTTTAATACTGACTAGGAACTGGAAATTTGTGCATTATAAGTTAGCAAGAAGGCTAAGCCCTATAGACTCGCCTGCTCTACTGTAAGTGGTCCTCAGATATTTGCTTACGTGGATAAAAATGATCATGTCTTCCAAGTGTTCTCTTTGTCCTAGTCAACCTATTTTCAATCTTTGGAAATGTAAAGATCCATTCACAGGCTGCATAGCATCAATACATCTCCTTTACTTCAGGTGAAAGAGGAAAAACTAGAGATAGAGATGGGCGAGGCCAGCAGCTTTTGGGCTTTTCTCCAGCTGTGATTTTAAAGGAAGCCAGCCAGAGTAAAAAGATAACAGAGTCGAGTGAAGAGGTTCATGGTGTGTAATAGCAATGCTGCTACCCACTGTCATGAGCAGCCACTGCAGGTGAAGGAAGTGATACATCAGGGAACAAGTCTTTCATCATTCAACTGTTTTCACTTGTTTAGGAGTTCAGAAGTTGGTTTGGCTTTAAAAGAATGTTCTTATGCCAAGGTCTGAATGTAGTTCTACATTATATGATCTATCTTGTTCAACAAGAGAGTAGCATAATTATATTACTGTTGCACCAATGTTCCATCTGGTGGAATACTGATCATTTTACTATTGCCTTTTTAATAATGAAGGAATGAATCAGTCAGTTAAACCACTGTTTATTGAGCACTATGCAAGTTACTGTGACTGTGGTTGGGAATGTATTGATAAGACTGTCTTGAAGGGGCTTATAGTAGCTCAAAAGGCACATAAACAGGCTTAATACTCAGTACAATATTAAGGGCCTGCAATGAAAAATGTACCCATAGCTTGCTATAGAAGCTTTCAGTAGTGATAATCCAAGCCCAAAACATCTCCAGTCTTGGAGGAGGTGATCCTTTTTTTTTTTTTTTTTTTTTTAAGCAGAGTCTTGCTCTGTTGCCCAGGCTGGAGTGCAGTGGCATGATCTCAACTCACTGCAACCTCTGCCTTCTGGGTTCAAGGGATTCTACTGCCTCTGCCTCCCAAGTAGCTGGGACTACAGGTGCGCACCACCACAACTGGCTAATTTTTTGTATTTTTAGTAGAGATGAGGCTTCACCATGTTGGCCAGGCTGGTCTCGAACTCCTGGCCTCAAGTGATCCACCCACTTCGGCCTCCTTAAGTGCTGGGATTACAGGCGTAAGCCACCACACCCAACCAAGGAGGTGATATTTGAGCTGAAGTTTGGAAGCTGAGGTGTCCCCCAGGTGAAGGAGGTGAAAATGGGAGTTTTAGCAAAGGGAGCAATGAATGAAGGCATGGAAGATGGCACATTAAGAGACCTGGAAAACTGAAAGTAGTTTAGTGTGGCTGGATGATAGTGTGCCAGGAAGGGGTGGGAGACATGAGGCCAGCCAAGCAAACAGGATTCATATCCTGAGGGGCCTTGAAGGTTGGGACCTGTGTTTTCATGGTATCTCTATCTGGCTGTAGCAAGGAGTATAAATCAGAAGGTTAGGCATGGCAGCAGATGTACCTGTTAAGAAAAAATTTTCAGGAACCTATTTGCAAAATGAAGTGCCAGCAATGGTGATGGAGGGAGAGGAGAATTCAGACTCTGTATGTGGCAAATGATGGAGAGGGAGCATGAAGGATAAAACCCAGGATTTTAGTACTGGCAACTGTGTGAACTGTGATTCCATTCCTTTAAGATCAGATATATCAGAGGAAGCACAAGTTGTAGGGGAAGATGGTGAGTCTTGGGCATTTTGAGATGGAGGTGGTGGGACAGCCAATGGAGACAGTAGAGCTAGTGGAGTCAGGAATGGATTGTAGCTCTCCTTGGATCTAAAATTCATGCTCTTCTCTCTAAATTACATAAGTGAATGTTCTCATTGAAACCAAAAGGGAGAGAGAGAGAGTTGCAAGAGCTATATAACAGTAGCCAATGCTGCAGAACGAACTCCTTTGAATTTGACTATTGGGAGGTCATTCATAACCTTGGTGGGAGCTGTTTAATTGGAATCTTGGGGATAGGTTGCAGGAGACAGAGGTGATGTAAGAGCAGTAAGCAAATGCGGACCCCTCTTTTCAGTAAGCATGGCTGAGAAGACAAGGAAACAAGATATGTCTGAGAGTGTGAGAAGGTTGGAGAAGGGTCTTTTTAAAGTGCAAAGAGCTTGAGTATGTTTGTGTGCTGAGGAAGTGGAGCTACATAGAAGAGCAGCTGGAGATAATTGCTGCAGAGGGATGATGCCCCTGGATAAAGGAGGCCTAGAGAGCATTTGCTTGTGGCCTCACCTTTTATAGGAGGACAGTTCTCCCACTGATTATGTGGAAAAAAGGTAAATAGAGGTGTGGCTGCTAGTAAGTTTATGGGACAGAGGAGGATCACAGAAGAAGCTGGGCATGTACTTGCCTGATGGCTTCTATATTGTGTGTGTGTGACCTATTAAGAGTGTTAAGGAAGTGGATTGGATAGGGGGCTTAAGGAAGTGGTGACATTGGAAGCAGGTGTTGTAGGGGACCTATGGAAGGACCCATGGGCAGCTGAGGTTGGGTGCTGTGACTATGTGGGGGCACTGACCTACATGGTTGTGTTATTTTCTCCACCAGTGCAGCAGCTAGGAATTCATGTGTCTGAGATTCACATGTCTAGGGTCAGACTTCTGCTGTAGAGCAGTATTAGAGGTCAAGAGAATTGAGGTTGTTGGAAGGAAAATGGTTTCAGTCATGGATCATGGTTGTAATTTGGTTAGGGGGAGAAGTGAGGTTAGGAAGTGTCTGGCAGATGGGAGAAAATGGAGGGCTGGAGAATCAGAAGTCTTAATGTAGTAATAGTGAGTGAGAGTAGTGAACACAGCTAGAGAGTGGGTTGAGCAGTTTAAGATTTTAGAAGAGGAGCCGACGGTGGGAAGTTACTATATGTTGGATGGACCTGAAGTCACCTGGATGGTCCTAGCTCTGGCATAGTGAGGGAGACTGGGACCCAGGTGCTAGAGTGACTGATGGCTAGCAGGAGGTTGGAAGATGATGGTGTTGAGAGAGGAGTAGAATGGTGGTTGGCAAGGATGGCATGGGCATCAAAGGAATGGAAGTTTTCTATGGAGGTAAAAGAGCACAGGTTGGAAACAGCAATAGGAATGAGCTTGGGGAGCACACTCTGCTTCTGGCCCTGTTTACTTATAAAGTATGTGTAATCCCAGCACTTTGGGAGGCTGAGGTCGGCGGATCATGAGGTCAGCAGATCGAGACCATCCTGGCTAACATGGTGAAACTCCATCTCTACTAAAAACACAAAAAAATTAGCCGGCTGTGGTGGCAGGCGCCTATATTCCCAGCTACTCAGGAGGCTGAGGCAGGAGAATGGCGTGAACCTGGGAGGCGGAGCTTGCAGTGAGCCGAGATCGCACCACTGCACTCCAGCCTGGGTGGCAGAGCGAGACTCCATCTCAAAAAAGAAAAAAAAAGAAAGAAAGAAAGAAAGAAAGAAAGTATGTGTGACAGCTTCCACTGAGAGGGTTGGGGAAAACCATGCTCTGCAGGGTAGCCTGGTTTCAGTTGGGACAAGGAGGTGAAGGCGGTGTTTTGTGGAGCAGTTAGGGATGTTGAGGAATTTGTAATCAGCTGTCCCTTAGGGGACAGTACAAAGAGTGGGCAGTGGGAGGACGGGTGGAGAAGATGAAGCACAGAGCTGGTGGTGGTGATACAACCATGGGAATAAAGCCATAGGACCGGTGACCAAAGGGGAAAGAGTGGGGAGGTCTGATGGCATTAGCTGGTCTCAGGTTTCCAGGTGTTTCAGTGGCAGCACAGGTGGAGGCTCCAGGTGGTGCCTGCATTTTGATGAAACATTTTGATGACTGTGGGACACACCAGTTTGAGCAGAGAAAAAGAAGAAAAGTACCCCTCACAATGGAAGGTAGGAAGGGGAGTGGATAGTTGAAAATAGAAGAGTGAGAATACAGAGGATTTAACACTTAGGAAAGACAAGTTTCTGGATAATAGAAGGGGGAAATGAGTTGTATTATATATTGCCAAGTCTTACTTTCATCAGTTAATTTCCCTTAAGATGTGCATATGTAGGTACTTAAATGTGGCATACCTAAATCATTTTGCATTTCACATTTTATACTTGGTATTTTCTGATGTGCCTCTCAGAGGTACATTTAACAATAGGTACCACATTTACATTATCCTAAGTGAACACTGATTTTTACCTTGAAAATTTCTGGTCACGTGTGGTGGCTCACGCCTGTAATCCCAGCACTTTGGGAGGCCGAAGCGGGCGGATCACGAGGTCTGGAGTTCGAGACCATCCTGGCCAACATGGTGAAACCCTGTCTCTACTAAAAACAAAAACATGAGCTGGGCGTGGTGGCACGCACCTGTAGTTCCAGCTACTTGGGAGGTTTCAGGCAGGAGAGGCAGGCTGAGGGAGGCTTGAACCGCAGAGGTGGAGGTTGTTTCAGTGAGCCAAGATCACGCCACTGCACTCCATCCTGGGCGACAGAGTGAGACTCCGTCTCACAAAAAAAATAAAATAAAATAAATAAGAAAAAAAGAAAATTTCTACATGCTATTTCTGTGTGGAAACTTGGAGGCCAATTCCAGCAGGAGCTGGTGAGCATGGGAGTCACCTTGATTATGGCTTACCAGGTCACCTTGCTTCGGTTGCTCTCTGTTTTTTTTTTTTTTTTTTTTTTTTTTGAGACGGAGTCTCGCTCTGTCACCCAGGCTGGAGTGCAGTGGCCGGACCTCAGCTCACTGCAAGCTCCGCCTCCCGGGTTTACGCCATTCTCCTGCCTCAGCCTCCCGAGTAGCTGGGACTACAAGCGCCCGCCACCTCGCCCGGCTAGTTTTTTGTATTTTTTAGTAGAGACGGGGTTTCACCGTGTTAGCCAGGATGGTCTCAATCTCCTGACCTCGTGATCCGCCCGTCTCGGCCTCCCAAAGTGCTGGGATTACAGGCTTGAGCCACCGCGCCCGGCATGCTCTCTGTTTTTGCAGTGTTTCCCCTTTGGTGATCTTGTTTGGCTTCAGCTGCGGGCAGAAATCCATATGTAAGACCAGAAATCCCAGTCCTTGTTTATTTTCCGTCATTCCTTAACTGCTAGATAATTAGAGTGAGTGACTCAGAGACCTTAAAACCGTGCAGAGCAAACAATACTAGAAATACGTATTTGGGCCGAGCGAAGTGGCTCACACCTGTAATCCCAGCACTTTGGGAGGCCAAGACAGGTGGATCACAAGTCAGGAGTTCAAGACCAGCCTGACCAATATGGTGAAACCCCAGCTCTACTAAAAATACAAAAAAATTAGCCAGGCTTGGTGGCACGTGCCTGTAATCCCAGCTACTTGGGAGGCTGAGGCAGGAGAATTGTTTGAGCCTGAGAAGCGGAGGTTGCAATGAGCCGAGATCACACCACTGCACTCCAGCTTGGGTAACAGAGCAAGACTCTGTCTCAAAAAAAAAAAAAAAAGAAAAAGAAAAAGTAAAAATACATCTGTTCCTTTGTGTTTTTTTTTTTGTTGTTGTTGTTGTTTGTCTGTTTTGCAGCTTTCCAGCCATCCAGCCCATCTCCTCTTCAGCCCCAGGGTCCAGTGAAGTCCAAAAACATCGTGACTGTCACTGGTATATCCTTGTGCTTGTTCATCATCATTGCCACCGTGCTCATCACTCTGTGGAGGAGGTTCGGCCGCCCTCCCAAGTGCAGCACCCCTGCTCGACACAACTCCATCCACTCCCCCGGCTTCCGGAAGAACTCGGACGAGGAGAATATCTGTGAGCTGAGCGAGCAGCGTGGGAGCTTCTCAGATGGGGGAGACGGGCCCACAGGGAGTCCAGGGGACACGGGCATCCCTCTGACCTACAGACGGAGCGGGCCAGTGCCTCCCGAGGACGATGTCTCTGGCAGCGAGAGCTTCCAGTCCAACGCCCAGAAGATAATCCCACCTCTGTTCAGCTACCGCCTTGCCCAGCAGCAATTAAAGGAGATGAAAAAGAAAGGTCTGACGGAAACCACCAAAGTGTATCACGTGTCTCAGAGTCCCCTGACAGACACCGCCATTGATGCGGCTGCCAGCCCTCCCTTAGATTTGGAAAGCCCGGAAGAAGCTGCAGCAAACAAGTTCCGGATCAAATCCCCATTTCCGGAGCAGCCTGCCGTCAGCGCCGGGGAAAGGCCTCCCTCCAGACTGGATTTAAGTGTGACTCAGGCCAGTTGTGCCATAAGCCCCAGCCAGACTCTCATTCGCAAGTCACAGGCAAGGCACGTGGGCAGCAGAGGGGGCCCATCCGAGAGGAGCCATGCCAGGAACGCCCATTTCAGGAGGACAGCGAGTTTCCATGAAGCCAGGCAGGCCCGGCCGTTCCGAGAGAGGAGCATGTCCACTCTGACTCCACGGCAGGCCCCCGCCTACAGCTCTAGGACGCGGACCGGGGAGCAGGCAGAGGACAGATTTAGGCCTCAGAGTCGAGGCGCCCACCTGTTTCCTGAAAAACCGGAGCATTTCCAGGGGGCAAGTGGAACCTGTGGTCCATTAAACCCTCTCCCTAAATCCTACACTTTGGGGCAGCCCTTGAGGAAACCAGACCTTGGGGATCGCCAGGCAGGATTAGTGGCAGGAATTGAGAGAACAGAGCCCCACAGAGCTCGTAGGGGACCGTCCCCCAGTCACAAGAGTGTCTCAAGGAAGCAGTCTTCTCCCACATCCCCCAAAGATAGCTACCAGAGGGTCAGTCCTCTGAGCCCTTCTCAGTGTAGAAGAGACAAGTGTCAAAGCTTCCCCACTCACCCTGAGTTTGCCTTCTATGACAATACATCATTTGGCCTCACTGAGGCTGAGCAGAGGATGCTGGACCTCCCAGGATATTTTGGGTCAAATGAAGAGGACGAAACAACAAGTACACTTAGCATGGAGAAGCTGGTGATCTAGACTGAGAATAAGCCTGAGCTTTACACAGCTGGGGTCTGCTACTCGTGTTTTGTAGACTTTTGTGTAACTATTTGTACCATGGGACAGAATGTGAGGAGGAAGTAACACACACACAGGAGAATGTGTGTGTATGCATGTGTTTGAATTCACAAGAAAGAAATTATTTATCTTGAGCTTTTTCCTTTGTTATTCAATTTCTATGGATTGATTACTAATAATCATAATAAAATATAAACAATTTTATTTTGGGGGGGCTTGGTCTGTCATGTGGCTATGAAGGATAAGATGTGACTTTTGAGTAGAACATGGTCTGAACATTGCATTGGCAGTTTCCATCCTGAAGCAGAAATCTGGAACCTCAGCTGGAAAGGGGTGGAGCAAAGTTAACTTGGTGTCATAACTCTGAATTGCAATTTATTAAGTTATAAATACATTAAGAATTTGACTCCTACAATGGTAGCATCAAACAGGTTTCATATTTGTCTGATTAAGTTAGTTACGACCATTAGACTGCTGAGCTACTTAGAAATGGTGATACCATAGATATTCAAGAAGAACTTTCAGATTAGAGTCCAGGTGACTTCACAAAATTATATGAATTAATTCTGCTTTAAAGAGATAACGTAAGAAGCTGGTGGTTCAGGTAGTGAGTCAAATGAAGACCTATCTGTTCTGAGCAAATAAATAGTAAACATTTTGGAAAGGAAAGTATTGTCTTCTGAGGAAATGGGCAGTAGGTACTGACCATGCCACTACCTGGGAACAGGATGGTGATTACGTGTTCCTGGACCAAACTGGCAGCAGAGACCTCAGCAGGGGAAGTGGTGCATGTATGTTGTTCTTAAACATAACTTTATCATGTTCAGAAAATGCATTAATTAACTTTAGGTATATATAAAGCAGGTAGAACAGTTTACAATTTTTTGCAGTTTTTACAGTTTACAATTTTTTACAGTTTAAGTTTTTTTTTTTTTTTGAGATGGAGTCTTGCTCTGTTGCCCAGGCTGGAGTGCAGTGGCACGATCTCAGCCCACTGCAACCTCCGCCTCCTGGATTCAAGTGATTCTTCTGCCTCAGCCTCCTGAGTAGCTGGGACTACAGGTGTGTACCAACAGGCTTGGCTAATTTTTGTATTTTTAGTAGATATGGGGTTTCACCATATTGGCCAGGCTGGTCTGGAACTCCTGACCTCGTGATCTGCCCGCCTTGGCCTCCCAAAGTGCTGGGATTACAGGCGTAAGCCACCACGCCCAGTCAAGCTTTTTAAATGAGAATAATGAGTTAAAGAAGGAAATAAGCCTTTTTAGACATTTAGAATCCCTTTTGCTTGTGTTTTCAGTCTTCTACACTTTACAAACAATACTTTTTTTTTTTTTGAGATGTAGTCTAGCTCTGTCGCCCAGGTGACCTCAAGTGATCTGCCTGCCTTGGCCTCCCAAAGTACTGGGGTTACAGGCATTAGCCACAACGCCCAGTCTACAAGTCTTCTCTAAAAGCAGAAACATCAGGAGAAAGCTGGCCCTTTTTGTTTGTAAGAGGGTTTGAAGAGACACCTCTCTTAGCTTTTCCCAATGGAAAGAAGCTTTCTACTGTTTGATGAAATGTTAGGACTGGTCTGGGAACTTGCTTTGTTTGGCAGTAAGAGCCAAACAAAAGAATCTAAAGGTTTTGTTCCTTTATTAGAAGTCTGTCATTAGTTTTAGTTACCACATGGGCAATCTGCAATCTCATGTACTCCTTTCAACCCTTGACCCTAATGACTTATCTGTATCCCTTGAGTAGCTGCGCTTTCCTTCTTTTTCATGGTGACCTCTCTAACTGCCACACCCATCCTGCCTTTTAGATTGTTTTTTTTCTTCCTTTTAGAGTTTATCAGGATATCAGCCTGCCGGTGATGTTTCAGGGACCATTGGAGAGAGTGAAATTAGATGGTAAAAACATCACAAATGCAAATATTGCAATTTAAAATTTTTCTCTCATATTTGTTGCATTGCCACTTCATTTGTGTTGTTTTAATTGAAAATCAAAATATAGCTCCTTTTGGCAATGTTTTAATATTAATTACCTTTTAGGAATAGGAGGGGTAGATTACTCAGAGCTCTCTGACAGCTGGTATTTGCTGATGCCAGGAAGAGGAAACCAGACTTTTTAATCTTCATTTTCTTTGTTTATCATGCTAGAAAGCTTTGTTTTCTTTCCAAGTTCACAGGCCTGCATGCCAACCTTTGAGGACAAAGGGTACATGCTTGCTTGTTTTTGATTTCACAGTGATGTACCCTACAGTGTCAGACAATAACATATGGGAAAGGTGGAAAGTCAAGGAAAACACTATGAACAGAAAGCTTTTCTGTTAAATTATGTTCTTCCCCATTATAATCACACATCTAAATTAATACCGCAGTGAGCTAACACCAGCATCTAACATTTTCTCTGTCAACCTAGCCCAGTTTTCTGGAGCTCTAAGAATAAAATCTTAATATATCAAAATTAAGCTAATTTGATCTCTGCCTCTGAGAAAAAGGAAGATGCCTCAAGCATTGTCTTTGGTGGACATGTAGGAAACTTCATTAGAAATAATCTAATCTTAGCCGGCACTTTGGGAGGCCGAGGCGGGCAGATCACGAGGTCAGGAGATCAAGACCATCCTGGCTAACACAGTGAAACTCCATCTCTACTAAAAAAATACAAAAAATCAGCTGGGTGTGGTGGTGGGCGCCTGTAGTCCCAGCTACTTGGGAGGCTGAGGCAGAAGAATGGCATGAACCCGGGAGGCGGAACTTGCAGTGAGCCGAGATCGTGCCACTGCATTCCAGCCTGGGCAACAGAGTGAGACTCTGTTTCAAAAATATATATAATAATAATAATAATTTAATATTGTGTCCCTAGGTCCTGTCCCTAGTGGCTGCCATAGAGTAGGCGCTCAATAAAATTTGTTAAATAAGTGACCAGCTATTCAAAAGCTTTCCAGAAATAGAGGAACACAAACTTCTACAAGAAACAAGGCATGCTGGCATTAGATTGATCATCAGCTGCACTAAAAATGGTGGAATAATAGCTTGGAAGTTGAGGGAGAAAATGATTTTCATCTTGAGAAACTTCCACCCAGTCAAATTATGTGCAAGGGCAAAATAAAGACATTGTTACACGTGCAAAGACTCAGAAAGCTTACCTGCCAGACAACTTTTCTTGAGGAGTTATTAGAGCATATACTCCATCAGTAAAACAGCAAAGTACCACAAGGAAGCCATGGGATTCAGGCAGCAGCAGATGTGACCTAGAATGTCAGTTTTGCGGGTGACTAAGCCACCAGTTCATATCTGAGCAAGAATGGGAGATCCAGGAAACAAAGGTATTTCATGGAACATACAGTTGGAAGAACTTGAAGATATACTTCGGGCAAAGAAAATGAAAATAAGAAAAGCACCTAGAAATTTTATTTTCTGAAAGACTCTACAAGAAAATTGTAATACAAATATGAATTAAGTTTAACTGAGTCATCGATGGGCTTTGAAAAGAAAAATATTCCAAGAAAATAGAATGGGTAAGATGGCACAGATTTCTTTCAACAACAAAAAAGTACTAGGCAAAGCAACAGCAACAACAAAGTAACCATGATTTTGAGAAACTGAGCAGCACAGGGTTGAGACATTGTGATTACACAGAGGCAAATCAATCACAGCATACTACTTGGCTCTGCTGTGGACCAACATTTTCATAATGCTGCTTATTGGTTATTGTCTATTAGAACCAACTTATAGAAGACTTAGGCCAGGCGCGGTGTCTCATGCCTATAATCCCAGCACATTGGAAGGCCGATGAGGGAGGATCACAAGGTCAAGAGATTGCGACCATCCTGGCCAACATGGTGAAACCCTGTCTCTATTAAAAATACAAAAATTAGCTGGGTGTGGTGGCACGTGCCTGTAGACCCAGCTACTTGGGAGGCTTGAGGCAGAAGAATCACTTGAATCCGGGAGGCGGAGGTTGCAATGAGCTGAGATCATGCCACTGCACTCCAGCATGGCAAGAGAGTGAGACTCTGTCTCAAAAAAAAAGAAAGAAAGAAAAAAAAAGAAAACGAAAAAAAGAAAAAAAAAGTTACTGAAGGGAATATAAATGTTATCAGTCATGGATATCTAGGAGAGTACAGCTTTGAAAAGTTTGGAGGTAGAGGGGTTTGAGGCTGCAGTGAGCTATGATTGCACCAGAGGTAATCCAGCCTGGGCAACAGAGGGAGGCCTCATTTCTAAAAAATAAGAAGTTTGGAGGTAGAAGCAGAGGTGGAGAGTTCAAGAGAAATAGGAGTTCACATCTCCTATCACGAAATGGAGAGCCAAGAGGCACCATCTGTATTTAATAGAACTAAAAACAAAAGTTTAAGGATATTGAAGTTACTAAAGTGACCAATAGGACTAAAAATTGTAATGTAACTATCATGTGCACCTTGTGTTTTAGGGAGGTGAATTAAGCTGACTTTTTAATCAGTCCTTGCAAGAGTCAATAATGTCACAAAATAGCAGCTTAATCCTATTCGTACAGTTGAAGATCATCAGGAGAATTTAAAACCACAAAGGTCAACGTGGTTGCCCTTTGGAAGTGGGACTGAGGCTGTGGAGATAAAAAGCAAGGAACAATTGCTTTTTGTTGTAGGGCTTCCTCTACTCTTAACCATTTTTTTCTCTTTTTTTTTACATTAACAAAACAAAAACCAAACATAACAATCCTGCTGAGGGTCAGAGATCATCTATTTTAATGCCTGGAAATATATTCGGTGAGTCACCTTGTGGCTATTAGGGGGAGGATTTGCTCCTAGTGTTGTTGGATCTCCAACCTCTCCCACGCCATTGTTTCCCTTCCTTGGAGATCTAGATGGTTCATGCCCACATTTGCCTTGCCCTGCTGATGGTTCTGTGGTCATTCCAGCTGCGGCAGTCTCTCACTGCCTGCCTCTTCTCAGGATGCCACCTCTGCTGCCAGTGTGGGTGGGTGTGGTGCCCCCGATCCTGCTGCTACTGCTGTTGCCAGTTTCTCCCTCAACTGTTGCCAAAACACATCACATGTCTTTTTATTATTATAAATTGATTGATAAAAGTTCAAATGTTTGAACTTAAAAGTTTACTATTTAGCTCATAATTATATAATTACTTGTAATTAAAATTTTGCTTTTTTCTGAGTTTTATACCATAAAACCACTTTAAAAATAATTTTTCCTTAAAAATAAATTAATATATGCTCATTATAGAACATTTGAAAAACAAAATTGCTCCATTCCTGTTCATCAGTTTGGGTACAAAAGGAAATTTCATTTGGTCAATATTAAATTAGTTTACTAGATAGGCTGGGCACAGTGGTTGATGCCTATAATCCCAGCACGTTGGGAGGCCAAGGCGGGTGCATCACCTGAGGTCAGGAGTTCAACAGCAGCATGGCCAACATGGTGAAATCCTGTCTCTACTAAAAATACAATTAGACAGGTGTGGGGAGGCTGAGCTTGTAGTGAGCCAAGATCGCACCACTGCACTCCAGCCTGGGCGACAGAGCAAGACTCTGTCTCAAACAAAACAAAACAAAACATAACAAAATTGGCCAGGTGTGGTGGTGCGTGCCTGCAGTCTGACCTGGGAGGCAGAGGTTGCAGTGAGCCGAGATCGTGCCATTGCACTCCAGCCTGGGCAACAAGAACAAAACTCCATCTCAAAAAAAAAAAAAAAAAAAAAAAGAAAGAAAGAAAGAAACAAAATCCCATTCATCTAAGCCAACATCATCATCATGTTTTTGAATTTATTGCAGAATTTTGCCATTTAGACCAAAACCCTATGGAGTATAATAATCAGCTCCAAAAAAACATTCTGTTGAATAATAGACAATATCTTTGTTTCCTGACTGCTCTTTAATCTTATTTTGGTCACCCACTAGTATGTAAGATCCATAGCAAAACTGAATTCAAGGTATTTCAAACCTTCCTCTACTCTTCATGAGCATCTTGTAACTTCTTGTGGTTCTGAACACTTGTGGTTCTGAACACCAGTAAAAGTTACAATCAGGAAAACTGATTCTCTAATAGAATAGAATCAGAGTTTATTTCTGCTCAGTTGAAGTTTTTCCTTTTGATACTATGAATTTTTTCTGCCCTACTATTTAACTATATGTAACTCTGACATAAACCATTACAGATTCATTTTAATCTTAATATCAAAACCTGACAAAGACAATTAAGAGGGAAAAAAACTCTGCAGGCTATTCTGACTCATAAACATTTGGTAGAAGGTATTAACAAATGGAATCCCACAATATATACGAGGATAAAATCAAGACCAAATCAGTGTTCATTTTTTACTAATAAATGTCTCAACTAATATTTCATTTTTTTGTTTTATGCTTATGGCTATCTTTATCATTGATCTTGACTATAGTAGGCTCAATTATTGTTCATAGTTTGTAAGCTAAAAAATATTACACACATTATTTCTTGCTCTTTTAGGGATGTCCAAAAGAAGACATACTGGTCACACTGAATGACCTGATTAAAAATATTCCAGATGCCAAAAAGCTTGTTAAGTATTGGATATGTCTTGTACATATTGAACCACTCACAAGTCCTATTGAAAATATTATTGCAATCTATGAGAAAGCCATTCTGGCAGAGGCTCAGGTAAGAGAAACATTTACTGATCTTTACGATTACAGTGTAGTAGACAATTTGGAATTAATTTGAAACACATCACAACATAGCTTGAGAAAATTGTGGTTGTATATGTAGTAGTAATAAATGTTTAAAGGCCACAAGGATTGCATTATAAAAGCTGTTGGCCTTCTAAGTCTTTTATTCCTGTACTGGGAATAATCAGACTTTAGAAAGTGGGTATAAGCCGCTGTGCCCGGTTTCATATATTTAATGAAACTTTCTGCATGATATGTCTTAGCATATTATTGTATGCATTTCCTGGTTGAAAATTTATGGGGAGACTGAATGTAATATTAAAATTTGTTTATTGAATATAAAGCAAAAGGGATGAAATTAGCTTTTTAAATGTTATCGGCCGGGCGTGGTGGCTCAAGCCTGTAATCCCAGCACTTTGGGAGGCCGAGATGGGTGGATCACAAGGTCAGGAGATCGAGACCATCCTGGCTAACACGGTGAAACCCCGTCTCTACTAAAAAAAAACAAAAAAAAACTAGCCGGGTGAGTTGGAGGGCGCCTGTAATCCCAGCTACTCGGGAGGCTGAGGCAGGAGAATGGCGTAAACCCGGGAGGCGGAGCTTGCAGTGAGCTGAGATCCGGCCACTGCACTCCAGCCCAGGCGACAGAGCGAGACTCCGTCTCACAAAAAAAAAAAAAAAAATGTTATCAAGCTCTCTTGGTTTTGTAAGAGAACTCTTTCACTTTAAGAGTAAACCCAAATGTACCCCTATATATACACTGTATAGATTGGTCCTGTCTGCATACAGAAAATGACAATAAACCAGTTTCTCTAACATTATTACCTCTATAGTGGCTTGATACTCCTTATCTCTTCTAGCCTATTGATACACAAAGCTTTGGGTATAGAATAAATCATTTCTTGAGTTTTTCGTTTGGTTGGGTTTTTGTTTGTTTGTTTTTATGGATAAATGTTCTTAAAATATATTTCCTTTTGACCAGGTTTCTCAGAAACACATTCTTGGAGATTGTTTACATAATTTTTTTAAACTCCTTTTTTTAAGAGAGGTCTATTCACCTTTGTCTCAACAGAATCAATAAATGCTATTTGACTTTTCACTTAAGTAAAAAATCAGATATTCAGCAGATAGTCTCCCAGTGACTATCATGTGTAAAACTCTTTCCAGAAGGGTAATTATATTTGACAGATGCTACCTGGAAGGGAGTGTTAGGCCCCCACTACATTGTATCAGAAGGGACATTACTTAAGGCAACCAAGGACATTGTAGCAAGGATGCAAAGCTGGAGCCAAGGCTCACATAGAAAGCAATAATGTAAACGGAAAGATATAACATCAGAGGAGAAGATGCTGGAAAACAAGAATCAAAATTAGCCATGATGGCTGGGCACAGTAGTGGATACCTATAGTCCCAACTACTTGGGAGGCCAATCTGGGAGGATTGCCTAAGCCCAGGAGTTTGAGTCCAGCCTGGGCAACATAGACCCCATCTCTTAAAATTAGTGGCCAGGTATGATGGTTCACGGCTGTAATCCCAACATGTTGGGAGGCCGAGGTGGGAGGATCGTTTGAGTCCAAGAGTTCAAGACCAGCCTGGGCAAGATGGTGAGACCCCCATCTCTGCAAAAAAAAAATTTAAAGTTTATTTGGTGGTAGACAGTTGTGGTCACAGCTATGCGGGAAGCTGAAGTGGGAGAATTGCTTGAGCTCTAGAGTTCAAGACCAGTGAGCCATGATTATGCCACTGCACTCCATCCTGAGTCAACAGATCAACACCCTGTCTCAAAAAAAAAAAAAAAAAAAAATTAGCCGAGAAAACTGAAAGCAGGATAGCTGAGTAATTCAGGACTAAGTTCTGGAACTAAGAATGTGAATTACACCTTCCCTAATCTTCACTGTGTTGAATGGAACATAGTAAATGCTTATAATATCTGATAAATAATGGGTACTTAGTAAATTCGTGAATGAATATGTTGAGATGATCAACCTTAAGCTCTTCAGAGATACATTTCATAGCATATGAAACAAAAATATAACCATAGACTTAAATGTAAGAGAAAAGGAGCAAGGCTTAAGTAAAATCATGGGGGAAGTTTTTAAATGTGAAATTCTATGCTGGGCATGGTCGCTCACGCCTGTAATCCTAGCGCTTTGGGAGGCTGAGCTGGGCGAATCATGAGGTCAGGAGTTCAAGGCCAGCATGGCCAGCATGGTGAAACCCTGTCTCTACTAAAAATACAAAAAATTAGCTGGCATGGTGGTGCGCGCCCATAATCCCAGCTACTGGAGAGGCTGAGGCAGGAGAATCACTAGAACCTGGGAGGCAGTGGTTGCAGTGAGCCGAGATTGCGTCACTGCATTCCAGCGTGGTGATACAGGGAGACTGTAAAGAAAGAAAGAAAAGAAAAGAAAGAAAAAGAAATTCTATCCTTCATTTTTAGTCTATAAATTGGAAAAGACAGCCATTTTTCTTTTTCTTTCTTTTTCTTTCTTTTTTTTTTTTTTTTTTTTTTTTTTTTTTTTTTGGGACAGAGTCTCGCTCTGTCACCCAGACTGGAGTGCAGTGGCACGATCTCAGTTCACTGCAAGCTCCGCCTCCTGGGTTCATGCCATCATTCTCCTGCCTCAGCCTCTCGAGTAGCTGGGACTACAGGCGCCCGCCACCATGCCCAGCTAATTTTTCTGTATTTTTAGTAGAGACAGGGTTTCACCATGTTAGCCAGGATGGTCTCAATCTCTTGACCTCCTGATCCACCTGCCTCAGCCTCCAAAAGTGCTGGGATTACAGGTGTGAGCTGCTGTGCCCGGTCAAGACAGCCGTTTTTCAATCTTAATTATAAGTGGTCTGAGAAGCATGGTTTAAGAGCCACTCCCTTACTTTAAAATATAGTATGAAATTTTAATCACAGCTTGGATACCTAGTTAATGTCAGAGAAAATAAAACTTACATGGATCTGCTTCATTCATTTAAAAAATTAAGCCTATTGGAGAGATGCGACACACGATTGTAGATATTCTAACAATGAAGAGTCAAGAAAAAGCTAATTTAGGTAAGTTTTAGTTCTTTTATTTCGTTCAAGTGAATTGTAGTTTTTTGTTGTTGTTTTTTAACTTTTATTTTAAGATCAGGAATACATGTAAAGGATATGCAGGTTTGTTACAAAGGTAAATGTGTGTCATGGGGGGTTGTTTTACAGATTATTTCCTCACCCAGATATTAAGCCTAGTATCCATTATTTTTCCTGATCCTCTCCCTCCTCCACACTCCCATGTGCCCCAGTGTGTGTTGTTCTTGAGGTGTCCATGTGTTCTCATCACTTAACTCCCACATGCAGTATTTAGTTTTCTGTTCCTGTGTTTGTTTGCTAAGGATAATGGCTTCCAGCTCCATCCATGTTCCTGCAAACGACATGATCTCGTTCCTTTTTATGGCTGCATAGTATTCCATGGTGTTGTGTACCACATTTTCTTTATCCAGTCTATCATTGATGGGCATCTGGATTGATTCTGTGTCTTTGCTATTGTGAACAGTGCTGCAATAAATATATGCGTGCATGTGTCTTTATAGTAGAATGATTTATAATCCTTTGGGTATATACCCAGTAATGGGATTACTAGATCGAAAGTATTTCTGTCTCTAGGTCTTTGAGGAATGGCCACACTGTCTTCCACAATGGTTGAACTAATTTACTCTCCCACCACAATGTAAACACATTCCTTTTTCTCCACAACCATGCCAGCATCTGTTATTTTTTGTCCTTTTAAGGATAGCCATTCTGACTGGTGTGAGATGGTATTTCATTGTGAATTGTAGTTTTATTGTTTCTTTGCTGAATTAGTTTTTCTTTTATCTTTTTTAATTATTAAAATATGTAGGTTATTTTTTTCCTCATACTTCTGTTGACCTACCTCTGAGATAAAGTGGCTTTATGTAGTATAAAGAATTTTTAATTAGGAGATCTGGCTCAATATTTAGATTTGTCACTGAATGTCTGTGAAAGTTGCATTGTCTCTCTAGGCTTTAATTGTCTGCCTTAAAAATGAGGCAGTTTGACTAGATATCTAGACTTTTCACCTGTTACATTCTGTGATCTGTTGTGTTGGCTAGAAAAGCTCATTCAAGAATTCTCTTTGCTAGGGATAGTAGATGGAGATAAGAGATTCATTAGTTGCCAGTCATAAAAACATTTTAAGATTGAGATAAAGTTTATGCCAGTTGATAGGACTTTAGGCAAAAAATACCCTCTTATTTGTAAAATACAGATTTTTTGGGACCATTGAATGAAATAATATTTATAAAGTATCATAGTTGATGACACACAGTAAATTCATTAAACTGTAGTCATTAATTAACTTTAGAAAAATGGTTTCCAATTATTTGCTATAACCGTATATGATACAGTCAATAAATATTTGAGTGCATGTTATGTACCATCGCCTATATATCTAGTTATTTTCTTTTTATTAATTTTAACAAGAGTCAAACAGTTTGAACTTTTTCTTTCTTTTTTTTTTTTAAAGAGTCTTGCTCTGTTGCCCAGGCTGGAGTTCAGGGGTGCGATCTCGGCTCACTGCAACCTCCACCTCCTGGGTTCAAGCGATTCTCCTGCCTCAGCCTCCTGAGTAGCTGGGATTACAGGCATGCGCCACCACGCCCGTCTAATTTTGTATTTTTAGTAGAGATGGGGTTTTGCCATGTTAGGCAGGCTGGTCTTTACCTCCTGACCTCAGGTGATCTGCCCACCTTGGCCTTCCAGAGTGCTGGGATGACAGGTGTGAGCCACAGTGCCCGGCCAACAGTTTGAACTTTTAAAGTCTCCTGATATATGCTGCCAGATTGCTTTCCAGAACAGTATTAGTACCCTTTTAGTATGTAAAATTAATTTAAGATGTAGAGATCTAGGTTGAAGGGCTAAACCTTAAAAAAAAAAAAATCAAAGAGCATACTAAAGTTCTAAATTAAGGCTAGTCTCGGTGGCTCACGCCTGTAATC